GGTTGGAGCCAGACCACCTGGGTTCAACTCCCTCCCCTCCATGGTAGCACAGAAAATACAAATGTTAAAAAGAAAGAAGGTAGAGGAAAGATGGGTACACTGTGAAGCACTCAGCAAGTTAAAACACTGACACTGCGAGGCTCTGATGAGGGTTTTCAGATACCGGAAGTTCATTCAAACATTTGTTTTCCAGTATGAATATGAACAAACGTATGCTACATGCTGACCACGCAGAGTCAGTGCCTCCTTTGAGGGTGACGGTGGCCAAAGGACAGATATCTAACAGGTAAACAACTGTAAGTAACAGGGAAAATAAGGCGCGAGAAGGACACAATGGCCCAGCCCCACCCGAGGCCAAGGCTCTAGAAAGGCTTCCCAGAGCTGAGTCCTAGAGAAGGAACAGTCAGGACACAGAGGAAGGAGAGGCACTGCCAAGAGGGGACAGCAGATCAAGATGTGGACATGAGAGGGTGACGCACAGCCTCAGAGGCGAGACACCAACTCGATGAAGAGGGAATCTCAATATGCAGAGCCTCAAAGGAACAGAAAAGAAAATAACACAAGGCCTAATTAAGTGTCAATCAAAAGGAAGAAATGAAAACCCACCGGAAGTCAGGCATCGCTGGATACCCATTCTGGTGCCAATATGAATCTCCTGGCCCTTGGCCGGAGTAGCTAAAAACAAATTATGGCTCAGAGGTACGCACTAAAAGCCTAGCAGCAAACGCTGAAACTCATTAAAAGCCCACAGACCTGATGTCACACCTCATTCCATTATATGGAAATACTTTCAAAGCCTACGGCAAGTCCAAAAGAAGGCCATTTATCAAACACAGTGATCTACTCAAGTCTCTGCTTTTTCAAACGTGAGCAACTTGCCAAGTTACTACATTATAGTTTTGGATTAGTATTTACTTACAATACCTGCTTCGTTCCAAAAATATTGCATCTACTACTGTTTTATTTTATCTGGTAGTCATATCACAGGGGCTCACAGAACTGCAAAGACCTATAAGGTTACTGTCTACAGAGTTTCTACTCCCCAGGAACTACACAGGAACTAACCAGACCATGAAAATGAGAAGACCGAGATCTGTGCCCTGCTCAGGTCTGAGTCCGAGAGACCACCCTGCAAACAGTAATGATAATGCAATGACACGTGCCAGCATAGAAGAGTGTGGAAGGGGTTAAGGGAATAAAAAGAGGCACCTTCAGGTCCAGGACATCCCTTTGTTCACTTTTCCACTCACTCACTCACCCTGTCACCCATTCATTCCTTTCTTCAGTGTCTCATAGGCGCCAGGAGCTTTTTCTAAGTCAGCGGTCGCCAACCTTTTGGACCTCACGGACCACCAGTGGTCCCCGGACCACCGGTTGGCGACCGCTGGTCTAAGTGTTGAGATACCCGTACAGGAATGCTCCACAGATGGCTGCTGAAGGAGGAGTAAAAGTTCCTTGGGTTGGGGGTGGGAGGATGGGAAGGAAGAAAGTATTCCGGGTAGAAAAAAAGAGTTTGGCGACCAACACAGCTTCTAGCAGTCACAATGAGTAGGGGAGGGACAGGCAAGAGAGAGAGATGGAAGGTGGGAGACCTGAAAGGGTGTGACCAGGAGCACAGGTTGCAACACAACAGTACACCTTGTGGAAACGTGGATGCATTTCAGGATAGGGAGAGACAAAACACCAACATGCCCTACCGGTGTGGCTCAATGGTGAGCATCGATCTATGAACAAGGAGGTCACGGTTTCATGACCAGGTTTCGTGCTCGATCCCTGGTAGGGGGTGTGCAGGAGGCAGCCAATTAATGATTCTCTCTCACCATTGATGTTTCTATCTCTCTGTCTCTTTCTCTTCCTCTCTAAAATCAATAAAAATATACTTTAAAAAAAAAAAGCAATACACCAACAAGATGGGGTAAAAACATGATGAGTAGCAATTCACTGAGAAGGAACCATGGTTGAACAAGCTCTGTGAAGGACGTGTGTAGGACACAAGGATGTACGTCAAGCATGTCAAACTCAAAGGCTAACACAGGCCAAATAAACAAGGTTGAAGTTTATGTGGGCCGCAAAAAAACAAAAGCTTCAATTTTCATAGAAACGTAAGTTTATTTTGATAGAGACATGCTGAATACAAAGGGCTGAGATAAATGAATAATCGTTAACATAAAATAGGACATTTTAATAAAAATTAATATTTTTTCTTGAACATTAACTTACCAGACACTGAATAACTGCACAAATTAATAAGTGTAACACAAATAAACCTATTTTTCTTGTTCTCCAAAAGTGAAATATTTCCTGTTGTCCACACCAAACAAGTCAGTCCAAAACTAATGACGTGGCAATTGCTGCTAAAATATTCGCTGCCAGTATCAGTGGAGAGAAATGGTGCGCCTGAGCATAAGGTGCGTAAGGGAAATGAATGCAACACGATTATTGTAGTTCGTTGTTAATAATTATGTATAACAGGATATTGTAAAAAATAAGTTATGAAATTTTTATTAAAAAGTTTCTTACATACTGTTATATTGGCTGGGCCGCAAAAATATTCGTTTTGGGCCGCAAGTTTGACATGCTTGATGTACGTATTGCAACCTTTTATGGCCTGTTATTAAATATTTGGATCAAACAATTGAAACAGGAATTTTAGGGGTAAAATGGAGCAGTTTTAGAAATTTTGGAAATTAAGGGGACCATGGAGGAAGCACAGAGCTGCAGAGCAGCAGAAGGTATATTTCCATAGAATAGGAAAGCTGAAAAGCTGCAACAAGTACATTTCCATAAAATGAGGGAGCTGGGAACAGCAAAAGGTCTATATTTACAAAATAAAGAGAAGGAAGCCCTTCATCCAGAAGAAGAAGAAGAAAGCCCAAAGGGAATAGGAAAACTATAAGGAAGGAGGCAGAGAGAACCTCACATGGGACATGTGAGGTTTGACCTTTGAGCCCAGGAGTTACTATAGTAACCAGTCTAAGGGAATAGTGACCAATCAGAGGGAATATCCAGGGACCACGATCTGCAGCCTTTATAAGCCATAAGAAAAAGGAACTCAGTGAGACCCTTTTCCCTCCCCACGTGGGAGTCCGTTCTGTGGGACTCTTTCCCTCTCCCCATGTGGGAGTCTGTACTTGTCCTTCAATAAATCTCCACCTTTGTATACCACTTTCTGTCCGTGGATTCATTCTTCGATTCCGGCGGACACAGAAACCAGGTTCCAGTCCAAAAATTCCATTTCACAATCAAACCTGTCCTTGATTGCATTCCATGACCACCATACATTGGTATGGATTTTCTGCCCACCAGAGGGAAAAACAAGCCTGACACTTTTCCCAATTTATCGCTTATTTCTTGCAGGTCTGCTGAAGGTCCACACTCTGAGTCTATAAAAGACTCAGTCGATAGGAGCAACTCCTGGAAAACTGACTCTCCCAAGCTAACACTGCCCTGGTGGAGACTCGGCTCTCTGTCTGTAACATCCTGTGTCTCTGCCGGGGGACCCACAGCACTGTGACCATCACTAAAACCCACCTTGTGATGTCCAGCCCTGCCCTTTTACTTCCCACCCGCCCCCCACAAGCGTTTCCTGTCTTGCTACTCTAATAGCTTCATATTAGGGCACAAACATCCTTTAACTTTGCATTGGCCAAAGTAGACCTCAATAGTTTACTTTGGTTCTTTCATACAGTTATCTCAAGGTTTTAATAATTATAGTCTACATTGTATTCTAATGACATTGTTCTCTTCTACATCATCCAAGTCGTTTATAAAAACATTAAAGGTCACAAAACCTAAAATTAGAACACTTCCATATGCCCGACAGGTTGGCCCTGAATCACTCAGTCTTCTTAACCTCCTGACCTTCTACTCAGAAAAGAATTTGTGAAAAATTATTCTTTGGTTATTTTTGCGTGTATTATTAACCTCTGGCCAAGGTTGTTTTTATTTTTCTATTATTAGCAACTCAGATGCAAGCCCTTTTAAACTCCTCATACTCTACTGTTTTAGTACAAAGCACTTCATTAATACAAAATCAAATGTTTTGACTTCCACTTTTTAATCATAACCAGTGTAACAGGTGAAAACAAAAAATACAAAATCATGAACAAAACCTCCATAGAAGCTTGTTAAATGAAGAGGAAGAGCGAAGGGAGTTTTCTTGGTGATAAGTATATGCTGAGCACAGCTTACCTATTTTCATTATGATGTCTATTGACTAATTTCTAAAGAAAACCAAGAAAGGTTTGCTCTGCTGAAAATAAGAACCATATTTATAACTTCCCAATTCATGCTGCTGCATTTCAACATCTATGATGTCCCCAAGGTTCCTTTTTTTAAAAGTTTAGTTTTGCCAAATGTAATAAAATATCTTATTGCAGAGAAACACAAAATTACTGGTTACAAGAGCAGAACTAAAGCAACGTTCCAGAGATTTACACTGGTCCCCACACTAAAACCAACCATGTAATCCATTAGGGGACGAGTCTCCCAGAGTTCTAGAAAGTATACCCCTCTGATGTTATAAGTTAGAAAGGATGATCATTCTTCAATTTCCTAAGCCATTTTATTTAAATTATTATTGTGTGGCATGGTCAAAAATGATGGGCTAAATATTTGAGAAAACTTAATATTCTGTCACAACTTCCAAAAGGAGAACAAATGTTCCTATTCAAGTGAACAGATTTTTTAAAGAATCATGTCGTTCTTCTAAGTACATGATTGGTTTAAGTCATTTGCCACTTTGGGAAGAGAGAAATTCTGAAGAAGTTGGTAAAGTCAAATGTAGATTACATGGCTTTACAAAATGAATAAAAGGATTCAAAGCAGCCAAGTAATTTCATTACTTTGAAAAAGTATTCATATCTTAAAATAATTTGCTATTCATCAAACTATTGAGAGAAATGAAATTAACATATTTCAAACACAGCCAGAATACTGAGTTCAATCAAACCATGCAAAGCTCATTTCTTAAGTAATTTATGATTAACAGACTCACTTACCTGGAAGCATATAAGAAAAGAAGGTTATGGGTGGAACTACATCATTCCTCTACTGGGTAAAAATACTTCGGCTTCTCTGCTTGAAATGGAAAGGACTCTAAAATACAAAAAAAAAATACAAAATAAAATAAAGAAAAGAAATGGGAGGTACCCCTGTTCATTTCCATGTCTTAAATAGAGGTGGTAACATTTTAAATCACTTAGGATTTAAAATACAATGCATCTAAAGTATTGCCCCCAAAATTAGAATGGTATTTCTCCCTTCCCTATCTTAACGGGTAAAATAAAAAGCATTTGTTTAAAAAAACAAAAAAATAAAACCTCAGAGAATCAAGGTTTAATAAGTAGTGAAAGCCATGAAGAAGTGTGTGTAAAAGCAAAGCGGAGGACTCATATTTACTTGATAAAGAACATTAAAAAAAATAGAGAGGAGTGGGAAAGAGCAAACCTCGCAAGAAAGAATCGTGCCCGCCGCCCGCGCGCAGGCTGCGTCCTACCCAACTCCGGAACCAAGCGACTGGAGCGGCACTGGGGCCCCCGGCTGCCAGGTGGGGCAGGAGCTGAAGTGCTGCCCCCTCTGAAAGGACCGCGCTCGGCGCACCAGGTTTCTGTCTGATGGTTCTATGCAATGATTTTTAAAAAAACAGCAAACCCTCCTGGAAGTTTTCCACGGGGGAAGGAAAGGGAGCGCACGTCCCAGAATCCGGAGGCGGACAGGAGAGCCAGATTCCCAGGAAAGAATCCGGAGGCGGACAGGAGAGCCACATTCCCAGGACCAGCCGCTGCCCCGGCCGCTGCTCCGGCCCCACGCAGCTGATGCTGCGGAGGAGCTCAGCTCCGGGCTGGGTGGGCGTGCACGCCGGCCCCCCTCGGGGCAGCGGACAGCAGCCCCAACCCCGCCCCGGGCCAAACGCCCTCCTGTCTTCCCAGCAGAATGAGGCAGGAGAGATTCGGCCACACCACGTGCCCCCACACCAGCCCGGCCTCGAAGGAATTCCACTGGAGGACATAGATGTGTCAAGGAAGATAAAAAACAGATGGAAAAGAGATAACAAGCGAGGCACTCTGGAAGCAACAGCAAGGGCAATACCCTGGAAAAGGGATTGCGCCCTCCTGGTCAATGTGTTAATCATGCCATCTTCAATTAGTTACCACAGAGCCTGTCTTTCCCAAGAGTTTTCAGATTTTATCTCACCTGTCTTTCTACTTCAAGCAATAGCGAAAAAAAGAACTATTGTGCCCGTTTTACTGCAAGAATTAAAAAGGGTGCAGCATGTTGACACACGGCCAAAGGGAGAGACTGAAGCCACTCAGGCCTGCAGCCACTAGCCCTTTCTTCATGGGGACAACCTCCTGGAGGCTGAAGCTGACCTGTCACATTTTTGTGTCTTCCTTCACCTCAGTTTGAAGGTTTTCTCTGAGGCACAGCCATTAACAAGGTCAGCAGGAGAATGAGGCGCATCGCTATAGAGGTGTGGCGTCCACGGGTATCCACACACTGCCCCCAGTATCCTGTGGGTTTCCTGTTCCAGTGGGTCGGCCCCGTGGGTTCTCTCCGGCCCCCCTGGCAGCGCCCTCTACAGGCTGCAGCTGCAGCCCTGCCCCTTCTGGCTTTGATCTCCCAGAGCGCACTTCCCTCCCGCCTGGCTAATTAATCTATGTCTAAATGGAATTGTAGTTGGCAGAAAGGCAGCAATGCCAAAGTAGAATAATCACATGGACCCGCATCTGAGTTGTTTTCCACCCTTGACAACAAATGTTACCCCAGAGCCTGCAGGCCAAGAGTTGAAATGAGTTTATAACTTGGCTTTCCATCTCCTCGTCTTACTCTCAGCCACTTAAATTTTCTTCTCCGGCTTTTAGCATGCAGGGGGCAGCTTTGGAGGCTAAGTCGCCAGCATGGTCTTTCCTGCTATCCTTAAAAATTTTCTTTGCCATCTAAATAAAAGCAGGGTGAAATCCCCATTATTCCAAACCACTCTTGTTCTTCCTTTCTTTTCTTTCTTTTCTTTTTTTTCTTTTCTTTCTTTCTCTTTCTTTCTTTCTTTCTTTCTTTCTTTCTTTCTTTCGTTGACAGAGCCATCTGAGACTTTATTTTGGGGAGGAAAAAAAAACAACACTTGATTTGGCTCTTAGTTGGGGGCACGGGAAAGAGGCAGCCCCCCAGGCAGTAAACTCCCCCACCCCAAGGTGAGCCCAGGACTGGGGCTGAGCCTCAGGCGGGGCTTCCTGGGCCCGCAGCTTCCGGGCACAGCTCCTTTCCCAAGGCTTGGAGGACAGGAGGGCCCGCAGTCATCATTCACTTGGGAAGGACATCAGATGACTCAGACACCAGCTTCCCATCGCGGGTCTCAATCTTCTTCACAACCACCGTCTTGGAGGAGTTGGTGCGGCTGAAGCAGCCAGAGCTCCTGCCAGAGTCCAAGTTGGCCTGGAAGCCCAGGCCATAGGTGAGGTTCCCATAGATGGGGTCCTCGGCCCCCTCGAGTAGCCGCTGGTGGTCTTGGTATGGGTGCTCATGTTCTGCATCCCAGATTCCAGCGGGTTCTCCTCGCCCTCCAGCAGCTTGCGGTAGGTGGCGATCTCCACGTCCAGGGCCAGCTTGGCGTTCATGAGCTCCTGGTACTCACGCAGCTGCCGGGCCATGTCCCGCTTGGCGTTTCTCAGAGCGGCCTCCAGCTCAGCCACCTTGGACTGAGCATCCTTGATGGCCAGCTCCCCACGCTGCTTGGCATCAGCGATGGCAGCCTCCAGGGAAGCCCTCTGGCCTTTGAGGCCCTCGATCTCAGCCTGGAGTCGGCTGATGTTCCAGTTCATCTCAGAAATCTCAGTCTTCGTGCGATGCAGGTCATCCCCATGCTTCCCAGCCAACGTCTGCAGCTCCTCATACTTGATCTGGTACATGGTCTCAGCCTCAGCCTGGCTGCGGTTGGCGATGTCCTCGTACTGGGCCTTGACCTCAGCGATGATGCCATTGAGGTCCAGAGAGTGGTTGTTGTCCATGGACAGAACCAGAGATGTGTCGGAGATCTGGGACTGCAGTTCACGAATCTCCTCTCCATACAGCTGCCTGTAGAAGTTGATCTCATCGGTCAGCCCTTCCAGGCGGGACTCCAGCTCTACCTTGTTCATGTAAGCTTCATCCACATCCTTCTTGATGAGGACAAATTCACTCTCCATCTCTGTGCGCTTGTTGATCTCCTCCTCGTACTTATTCTCCAAGTCCTCCACCAGTCCCTGCATGTTGCCAAACTCTGCTTCCAGCCTCAGTTTCTCCTGACCCACGTGTCCAGCTGCCGCCGAAGGTTGTTGATGTAGCTCTCGAACATGTTGTCCATGTTACTGCGAGTCATCCTCTGCTGCTGCAGGAGGTTCCATTTGGTCTCCAGAATCTTATTATGCTACTCCAGGCTCCACACCTTATCGATGAAGGAAGCAAACTTGTTGTTGAGGGTCTTGATCTGCTCCTTCTCCTGGTGGGCACGGCCTGAATGTTGGGGTCCACCTCCAGCTTCAGGGGGCTTAGCAGGCTCTGGTTCACTTGGACAGCTGTGATGCTCCCCATACCCCCAGCCCCACCGTAACCCCCAGCCAGACTCATGCTGGTGCCCAGGCCACCTCAGTAGCTACTGCCCACACGGGAAAAGGATGGACGGGGAGCTGATGCGATTGCCCGGTGCACTGGAGTACGAGCGGCTGCTGAAGGCCCGGGGTCCAGAGGTGGACACCTTGTAGGTCTTCTGGGTCGCCCTTGTGGACATGGTGGAGGCTGAAGTGGAGGCGAGAAGGCTGAACCAGACAGAGATTCGAGAAGAAGCCAAAAAGCTGCTTGTCCAAGCCACTCTTGTTTTAATAATGAAACTAAGTAGACTTTCAGCTCATACCTCCACATGATTATTAATCATCTAATTCGTTCTTCTCACACCAAAAACTTGAAGAGAAAGGTTTAGTTTTTCATCTACACACTGTCGTTTACATTCATCCAGCCTCCAAGAGTCTGGTCCTAGGAATGCCGAACTGCAGGTGAAAAGCCACAGGGTGGCTCAGCTCCTCCCTCTTTTCCTACTAAAGAACTTATTAAAAGGTTGATCCTTGGCTCTGGGAAGTACATTGTCTCCTTAGCAGTTACACACATCATGTTCCCCAAGAAGGTCGTCATCTCAAGCTAGAAATGGAAAAGGAAAGAGACAGGAAGGCAGAACCACTGACAGGACTCCCCTCACTGTGGGAGGATTCCTGAAGGTGAACCACATGCTAAGGACAGGTGGGTGTATTCAACTGGACACATCCCCCATTAGAAGAAAGGGAAGAAACCTCAACTGCACACCTATCATGTTCCATACACTGTGCTAGCTGCATTACATATGAACTTATTTGACCCCCACAACAATGCTATGGATACATGCATTAATATTCCCATTTAACAAATGGGGAAAGTGAGGCTCAAAGGTGTTATGAAACTTTCCCAACTAGTATATGGTAAAACTGGGATTTTTCTGACTTCAAAACCTAAACTCCCGTCAATAGATGAGTGGATAACAAAGCTGTGGTACATTTATACCATGGAATACTATGCAGCCATAAAAAAGAAGGATCTCTTATCCTTTGAGACAGCATGGAGAGATCTGAAGGGCATTATGCTAAGCTAAATAAACCAGTCATAGAAAGAAAAGTATCACATGATTTCACTTGTATGTGGAATCTAATGTAAGCTCATGAACAAAATAGATCCAGAGATATAGAAGCATGGAACAGACTGACGAATCTCAGAGGGAAGGCGAGGGGTGGTGGGGTGTACGTGGGGAGAGATTAACTGGGGAACTTATATGCATATATGCATAGCTCACAGACACAGACAATAGTGTGGTGAAGGCATGAGAAAGGGGAGTATAGGGTAGAGAGAGTCAATAAGGGACAAAAGGGGGACATCTGTAATAATTTCAACAAATGAAGATAAATAAATCTATATAAAAGCCTATGCGACCGAACGACCAGTCGCTATGATGTGCACTGACCACCAACGCAGATGCTCAACGCAGGAGCTGCCCCCTGGTGGTCAGTGTGCTCCCACAGTGGGAGCATCACCTAGCTCAAGAC